GCAGGAAACTGTGAGGGTGAGGTGGGGAACTGAGAGGGGTAGCTGGGCAGCTTGGGGTCCATGGGTACAGGTGTTGGAGGTTGAGACTGAGGAAAGGTCTGGGTGACAGGTTCGAGGCATCCACTCTGTAGGCGAGACAGTAAACCGGTCAACCTTCAGACACACTGTTCTTGCAAAAGGTATGAGAAGGATGTTTTTCTAATAATACTAACTTGAACAATCTTGTCGATGCCCAACGCTCTGTCCAGCTCGGCCAACTCACTCTCATCAGTGCGGCTCAAGAAAGTGACCAGCTGCTCCAGCAGGGCCTTCTCGTCGTTACAGCCCTCGGGAGTGGTGGGTGGACACAGCATCTTATCCAGCGGACACGGAACACACTGCCTGCTTAGAGCAGAGGGAAAAAACAACAACAGAGGTAATCTATGATTCTGATCATGATGAGGAGGAAGGAACATTGGGTAAGCGGCAGGCAATTCTATGTTATGTTGCATGGTTAACTGATTTGGCAGGTAAGTAGAATTTGGGTGAAAGTGCACATCTGCTTCCTTGTGACTCAGATATATTTATAGCAATAATTATGTCTGGAAATATAAATATTTCTATCTATTCTTGAGAGATGAGACCAAACATTGCACCCGCTAATAGTTTATAAAATAACAGCTACACATTGATATTAATCAGAGATAATTTACTTGAATGTTCTCAGCACATGTAAACACAAATGTAAAACTAAAACTAAAATAAAGGTAAACAGAAATATTGAACAAAAACAAATTAATAAATACAATACAGGCATATAAAATCACTAAAACTTAAAGAAAATATTAAAATAAAGGCCAATGAAAAATATTAATAAATACTGTATCATCACATAAATATTACTAAAATAACACTGCTACTTACTGTAGTTAAAAATATATATTTACTTCCACCTAGTTTCAACAAAGTCCCACAAGCCCTGTTGAGGCTTTATTTTTTGTTAATATCTGTTATAATTATATTTTTAACTAAAATTCCACCACCCAAATTTTAAAGAAATAATTCTAATTAATAAAATTAAAATAATTAAATAAATAAGTCTAATTTTACATAGGTTCTTTTAGTTGTAAAAAATAATAAATAGTTATTGTAATATTAATCAGATTGTTTGGTTCATTTCTGTAGCCTGATTATGATCAAGAATTACTGTATGACATTCATAAACACTCACTCTTGAGGAGAGGACAGAGGGGCCTGTGTCTGGTTACCCAAGCTGCTATCGAAGGTCATTGGTTCAACCAGGGACAAGGGCTGGAACTGCTGAGACTCAGGAAGCTCCAGTTTGGCCAGACCTGAATCAAAAGAGACAAAAAAAATTGTTAACAGTCTTCTCCCCTTCATTTAATAATCAAACTGTTTCTGTTTTCAAACATGGTGATGCGTTCAATCCTGCACCTGTATTGGTGTTGAAAGAGTTGAGGCTGGTTGGATTGGCAAAGGGGCTGCTGCTCTCCTTGGGTGGCTGAAACGGCTCAGTCTGCCCAAGATCCGGCACCTGGACCTGACCCTGATTTGGTGTGGAGGGGTCACAGAACTCAAAAGAGGACTGATTTGAGAGGTTTGATCCATCAGGGAATGCTACAGAGAGAGGTGGAGGAGGACAAAGCAGTTATTGAGGACTTAAGACAAATGAAATATGAATTTTATTATTACTCCAGTGGGACGGGCATCACCTTGGCTTGATGTTCCTGGTGACTCTCTCTTCACATTCAACCCGATGGAAAGGTTGTCCTCACTGGGCTGGACGAGCACTGGCTCCTCTACTGCTTTACCTCCCACAGAGCTTCTCAAAGTGGGCAAGAGCTGGTTCAAAGTGTCCAGATCGGTACTGGGAAACTGCTACTTATGTAAACACAGCGGTGGAGTGGAAATGAGAGCAAAGGTCATCAACATCAAAAGGCACACCAGAGCACAAGAAAGACAAAGTCCACACGTGACTCCCCTTAAATCAGCTCATGAGTAAACGCAGCAAGAGTAAGGCCTACAAAATATTAGTGATGCACTGAAATTTGGCTGCCGAAAATTATTGGCCGAAAGAGAAATATATTTTATATTTAATGTTAATATATTTTCTGTCCCGATTTTATTGCGTTCATTTCAATAAAAGTGTGGTTATTTTATTGGCTAAGTTTCTTTAAATTCAGTATCAGTAAAATTGTTGATTTAAATTAAAAAGTCTTACAAAATGACTTTATATTATTTCATAAAATAAATAAGTATTACAAAGAATTTTCGGTTTCGGTCCAGAACTTTCATTTCGGTGCATCCCTACAAAATATATTATTAATATTCATGCTAGAGTTCACGCTAAAGCTGGTTTAAAGCTGGAATTTATTTTCATGAAAGACAGATATTTCCTGTGACATGAATGATGAGATATGGGCATGTCCAGCCTCAAAGGTGAGAAAAGTTTGACGCAATGCAGTGACTACCAATGGATGTGAAGACATCAGAGTTTTGGAAAGTTGAAAAAGTTCAGGGTACTGTGAGCAATTATACTATTCAATATTGATATTTGCCCACATAAAGCAATATAATAAAATAAAAGATATTTGCCCACATAATTGATTAAAATATGCAAAATTGTATCAAACATTTTTAATATTAACTTAAATCATGTATCAACATCCAACAAAAACATCTGAAAACTGACCTTGCTGTAAAAACCTGAGCTTCTGAAACAACAATATAAGTACACTGTTGCAATACAATGCAGTGAATTCTTTATACTTTTTTCAGTATTTTTTTTTCATTCAAATTGTTTAAGTATTGTGATGATGTGCATTTTTCACCTCATTCTCATTACCAGTTATAGAAATAAAAAGTAAATTTGCTGCTGAGATTAATAGTGAGAAGCAGTAAATGGTCAAAATAGACTTTTCTTCCATCGGCCAAACATCCTATTAGTGGTCAGATTTTCAGGAGTAAAAAGGACGTTAAGTAACACAGTAACATGCACATAGAAAAAATGCTTAAAAACATTTTTCCATAATGTACTTAGATTTATTCATTAAGTACAAATAATGAAATAAGGATGTAAATACCGGGCTGGGCTTGTCACTGGATTGAGGCGAACAAGCGACTGCAGACACGGTGGTAGCGGCAGCAGCAGCAGCTGGAGGGGTCACAGAACTCAAAAGAGGACTGATTTGAGAGGTTTGATCCATCAGGGAATGCTACAGAGAGAGGTGGAGGAGGACAAAGCAGTTATTGAGGACTTAAGACAAATGAAATATGAATTTTATTATTACTCCAGTGGGACGGGCATCACCTTGGCTTGATGTTCCTGGTGACTCTCTCTTCACATTCAACCCGATGGAAAGGTTGTCCTCACTGGGCTGGACGAGCACTGGCTCCTCTACTGCTTTACCTCCCACAGAGCTTCTCAAAGTGGGCAAGAGCTGGTTCAAAGTGTCCAGATCGGTACTGGGAAACTGCTACTTATGTAAACACAGCGGTGGAGTGGAAATGAGAGCAAAGGTCATCAACATCAAAAGGCACACCAGAGCACAAGAAAGACTGACTGCCTCAAATCAACACATGGGTTTGACAGTTTAAGAACACCGTAACAAAGTGAACACAGCAAGAGTAAGGCCTATCATTAATATTCAGTAGGACACTGAAGGGGAGTTCACGCTAAAGCTGAAATTTATTTTCATGAAAGACTGAGAGACATTTCCTGTGACATGAATGATGAGATGTGGACATGTGCAGCCACAAAGGTGAGAAGAGTTTGATGCAATGCAGCGACTTTTGGAAAGCTGAAAAAGATCAGGGTACTGTGAGCAATTACACTATTTAATATTGACATTTGTCCACATAAAGAAATATAAAACTATTGCGTGGAAAACCATGTCAGAAATTGTGGCCCTTCAAAATTTCATTTGTGCACTGCTATAATGGCAAGCTATATTTTTATACTATATTTAATGCTAATCAGTTTTTGTCTTTTGACAAAAAATAAAATTTAGTTAATATTTCTTTATGTCAAAATCAATCATTTATTCAGGTTTACTGAATAAAATGGCAATTAAAATCTAATTTTACTTTACAAAAATGTGTAAAACTATATCAAGTGTTTAATATTACCTTAAAACATGTAGCAAGATTCAACAGAAACATCTGAAAACTGACCTTGTTGTTAAAGCCTGAGCCTTCTGAAATAACATTATAATAAGTACACTATTGTAATACAATACTGTGAATTCCTTATGCTTTCTTCAGCATTTTTTTTATTCAAATTGTTTAAGCATTGTCATGATGTGCATTTTTTTTTTACCTCATTCTCATTACCACTTATGAAATAAAAAGAACCTTGGTTAACAAAGTCATTTTGGTGCTGTGATTAATTCTGAGAAGAAGTAAATTGTCAAAATAGACTTCCATCAGCCAATTATCCTATTTGTGGTCAGACATTCAAAAGCTCAGGAGTGAAAACACTAGAACATTCAAAAGTCTAGAGCCAGTTGTTTTTTAAAGAAATTAATAATTTTCAGCAAATATGTATTAAATTGATCAAAATGTCAATTATAAAGTTGCAAAAAAATCTATTTCAAATAAATGCTGTTTATTTTATGCAAAAAATGACTATGGTTTCTACAAAGCAGCACAACTATAAAATAACAAGAAAAGTTTCTTGAGCACCAAAACGGCAAATTAGTGTGATTTCTGAAGGATCATGTGACACTGAAAACTGATGTAATGGCTGCTGAAAATTCAGCTTTTCCAAAGGAATAAATTAAAACATATTAAAATACAAAACTGTTATTTTAAATAGTAATATTTTACAATATTACTGTTTTACTGTATTTTTGATTAAATAAGTGCTGACTAGGTGAGCATAAGGAGCTTCTTTTCAAAAACCCCAATCTTTTGAACAGTACTGTAAAGTGTGAAGGCCACCAAAAATGTTAATAAAGGCAAAAGGACATTAAGTAACATAGTAACATGTACATAGTAAAAAAGCTTAAAATATTTTTTCCCATAATGCATTTAGATTCATTCATTAAGTACGAATAATGAAATAAAGATGTAAATACCGGGCTGGGCTTGTCACTGGATTGAGGCAAGCAAGGGACTGTAGACACGGTGGTGGTGGTGGTGGCGGCAGCAGCAGCGCAGGGCACGTTCTCTCTGCTCCCTTTCTTCTCTGACTTCACCTTGACAGTATGGATGCTGAGGGCAGCCGGAGGAGGCAAGTCCTCCAGGTCCTGTTCATCCGTATCCAACAGGAAGCGTAGCAGCTGGTGGTCCTGGGGCTCCTTCCCATGTCCCCGTGCTACCAAGGCTGCGTTGGGACTGGTCGGAGGCTTCTTCTTGATGTCAGGTTCCTTGCCCGCATCTGCAGGGCTGCTGTCCTGGAGCAGGCGGTGCAGAATCTTATGCCGCTCAGTCAGACTGCGGTGAGAAGCTGGACACTGGGCCACGGGCGCGGGACGGGGTTGGGAGTCGTGTTCGGGGGCACCATCCAAGAGCTGGTTAAGTTTAGGGTTGCCCACTGCAGCGGCCTTAGGCTCATCAGCGGACGCTTCCGGCAGTTTGGCCAGGGGCTGACGTGCCGGGGAGCTGCTGGGGGTTGGAGTCTGTCTGGAGGGTAAGGGAGAGGGGAGAGAGAAACTGACACTGTCGCCGCCAGACTGCTGCCTGGTCAGTCCGCCAGCGGGCGAGTGGATGCCGGGCGCTGAGGGGGAAAAAGGATGGCCGGGCACGCGTGGGCTGCTGGCCAGGCCCGGGCTGCCCCGTGGAGGTCGGGGCGACATGAATGAGGTAGGGGTGGCTGTGAGAGGGCTGCCAAGTGGAGAGGGGCTGCTGACCTGCTGGGAGGGTCCAACGCGGCTGGGCGTCAGGTAGCCTGGTGGAGTGGGTGTGGGGGGTCCAGGAGTGGCACAGGTGCCATTGCTGTTGTTGAGATGGAGGCTGAGGTCACTGGAGGGCTGCAGGGCAGGTGAGCGGGAAGGGAGGGCAGCAGGAGACGGAAGGCTGGGGGTAGTGTTTTCCTGAGAGCTAGCAGTGTTGTGTTCCCTAAAACACACATTATATCCAAAATACATATGTATTGTGTGATGTGCTCATATAAATGCAACAGAAATCATCAGCTACCTGTCTATAGAATGAATGCCCATGATGAAGGGCTGTACGTCTGGGTTTGGGGGGCAGCAGAATTTGCAGCGTGTCTGCGCACTGAGGGACGTCCCATCACTGAGTGTGAAATGGTACAGAGGACTGATGGCCGTGCCGTGGGTCATCACTGTCAACGCACACACAGAGCATAAAAATGTGTTTGTTTTAGAGTTACCACATTTACAAATATCAACTTAGAGTAGTGCTGGGCAGTATGACCAAAAATTTATATCACGGTATTTTTCGAAAGTATACCGGTTTCACGGTACGTGACGGTATTTTTTTTTTTCATGCATGACCGGATGTTAACCATATTTTCTACTGATTGAGAGAGAAAATACTGCAGTATATTGAATTAGAATGCCCTATTTTACGGTCATGAGTGAATATTGTCAAAAAATAACACATCTGAGTAACAAACTAAAAAAAAACAACAAACAAAAAACAAAAAAGACGAACTACGCTCATATTTATAATTCCAAACAATCAGTAAGCTACCGGTGCTAGGAAACGCTGTTTTGTACTCATTTATTGACGAGTTGGCTGCGGTGCGGCCAACTGAATGAGCTGTTTCTCTGCCGCTCACTGCACAGAACAGACGCCGAGAGAGGTGACACTTCTTGGGGAAAGTCAGACCTCGCGTTCGCGGGACAGCACTGGCAAAATCTTCCAACTGAACCATAGCTAAGGTTTATCCAAAAAAGTCGCTAGGTTTGTCAGTATGAATATTCTATGGAAAAAAGCAGCTAAAAGGGTCTGAAAGTTGCTAAATCTAGTGCTAAAGTCACGCTCGTGCGTGTGTGAGACGCGGGAGCTGATGGCAGGGGGCGGAGGATATTTGTGGCGGTCAGTGTGGATATTTCTTCTGTGTCATCACGTTCTATTAGTTCTACAGCTTCAGTTTCAGAACTTTCACGCTTAGTAACACATACTGCTGTTCCCTCACCACAATGCAACAGTGAAAAGGGACCCCTTTCAAGCAATGTCGTGTTCCGAACGTTGTTTAAGCGACATACACCGGTATTGCGGTATTTAAAAAATTCATATCATAACAAAAATAAACAACCGCGTTGTTCAACCATGAACCAGTATACCGCCCAGCACTAACTTAGAGCCTCATTTGCTAACTATAATTGCCTTTTGCTTACTAATTGTTTTCTAAATTTAGGATAAATCCACATGTACGCTGCATATTAACACTACCGTTCAAAAGTTTGCTGTCAAAAATGAATACTTTCATTCAGCAAGATACAATAATTTGATCAAAAGTAACATCTAAAACATTTGTAACAAAAAACGCATTTTTGTAACTATTTTTTTAAGAATCCTGAAAAAAAAACGTCTATCACGTTTCTACAAAAATATATAGCAGTACAGCTGTTTTCAACAATGATAAGAAGAAATGTTTTTTAGCAGCAAATTAGAATATCAGAATCATTTCTGAAGAATCGTGTGACACTGAAGACTGGAGTAATGGCTGCTGAAAATTCAGATTTACCATCACAGGAATGCATAAAAATGATTAAAATATATTAAAAAATAGAAAACCGTTATTTTAATTTAAAATTATATTAAAGGTACGATATGTAAGTTTTCACCGCTAGAGGGGGCGTATTCAAAACAAACAAAGAAACAAAGGCGTAGTTTGACGCCGCCGTGACTGAGTGTGGAATCATGGGAGTTGTCGTCTTCAACCCCACAGCCGACGCAATCCGACGGGACTCAGGCAGAAATCATGTTCATGGATGAGCTAATGTATTAAAGATTTATCGTAGTATGAAGCAGAGTGAGGCGGAAAGCCGTCGAAGCGAAACGAGGCCGCCGAAGCAATTTTATTATGCCACCCTTTAGCGCTTCCGCTCCTTCCAGTCGTGCGTATGTGGGGTAAAGCAGCGCTGTTTTAGGTGTGTTTTGAGTTTGAGCTCCAAGTTAATTATTTGTCGTCGAATTTTTTATCTTAAAATCAATTTTATACACCATCATTTTTGTTTCTATAACGTGTGAATATATCCCCTATCGTATTCTACAACAAAAACAATCAGAGCGCCTTGTTATCACTAGTTGTTTTATTACGTCTTAAATTGATTTTTCTGTACATTTCTGCCATATGTACATTAACTGACAGTCACCACTGATAAGCTACCACTAAATATTGTAGAAACTTAATTTGCTGTAAAGTTGCTTCGCAATGATTTGTATCGTGAAAAGCACTGTACAAATAAACTTGACTTGACTTGACTTGACTTATCATACTAGATACGTTTGAAAGTTCTGTTATAATGCTACTCTGTGCGGTCGCCACATGTGTAATAAAACGCACAACATATTAAAGCGTCTTTGGTGTTTCCATGTTTCCTAAAAAACAAAACCGGAATTCGAGGGTGTATGACGTCATTAGCAGGCGACACAATGACACTATGGACACGGTCCGTGTCACTAGTTAAAATTGCTTATTTCTCTGGATTTAAACATTGAAACATTTGGGATAATGTAAGTACACAAGTCAGCAAAATATATAACACTGTTCTAGTGGGTTTTGGATATTTTAATAAAAAAATCTTACATATCGCACCTTTAAATAATAATTTGAACTGTAATGTATATCCTGTATTCATAAATGTACATTTCTTTTTATAACCTTTTGAAGGAGGAAAATAACATGTTTGCTCTGTAAAACAGATAATAAAACTGCTTTTTCAGGCAAATAAAAACTGGCTACTGGATTAATTGAAAAAAAAGAAACGATGCACAGATTGATCAGTTATCAAAATAATTGTTGGTTGCAGCCATATTGGGCAGATTAGAACACCTTGAACGAGTGAATGAGGGTATGAATCAAAATGTGAGTGTAAATCATCAAATAAATCATAAATAGTCATTCTCTAGGTAAAGAAATGCAAGGTCAGATCATTACTGCTTTAAAATGTCAAGTACTACTCAAAATGGCTAGAACGGAGGTGAATGTGCTCACCCTCGTGAAGCAGCTTCTTGGCATGGGAGGGCTCATTGCCCTGAGACTGGAAGAATGCGTAGATGCACTTCCTGACCAGGTCCTCCCATCCTGGTCGGCCTGTGGCCCTCAGAGCACTCGTCTCGATGGAGATGATTTTCCCTGCGCGCGCACACACACACAAACACACACACAAATCAAACAGCAGGAAAGATCATTAGATTCTGTAAACAGGACTTCAGGTTCAAGAGGAGGAAGCTTTACTACAACAGATTTAACAGATTTAACAAACCGTTTTGTGCTTCCTTCTGCAAGAACAGAAAAATTCAGATTCAGATTTCAGATTCAGTCTGCATGCTTATTATTCTTCTCCAGCTGACTTTTTCTGCCACTGCTAATAAGGCTTTCGAGACTAGAGACACTACCTAGTTTCAGCAACAATTCTGATTGTTGTAGTTTATTTTTATATATATTTTATTTTTTGTTTTATTATTTTACTCAAAAGTTTGAAGTCAGTAAGTCTTTGAAAGAAGTTTCTTATGCTCACTAAGGCTGTAATTAAGTGATCAAAAATACAACAAAACTGTAATATTGTGAAATATTACTACAATTTAAAATAACTGTTTTCTATGTAATTATATTTAATTATAATGTCTTTATCACTTTTGATCAATTTAATATGCCCTGGCTTAATAAGTCTTAATTTCTTTAAAAACAAAAAACTTTTGAACAGTAGTGTACTAAACTAAGCAAGTTTTCTTTGAGGGAGAAAGTCATGTGTATTTAGACAGGAATTACAAAAACAATGTGTCAGCTCAATGTACCTGTCGCTTGATGATGTGACATTAAAAAAAATAGAGTGCAATGAAATGGAACTAAATTAAGGTGTCTGGAGATGCATTTTAAAAAGTGCTTATAATCAAAATCATTATTTCAAGAATAAGATGCTGAAAAAACGGAGACGTACTGCAAAAGCACACGACCATCTGGAGTCTATCTAACATTTTTACATTTACAGCAATTAAGACACTTAATACAATTAAGAACACGTTCTGTGTGAACACTTGTGTCCATCTTTGTTATAGTAACTACAGATACTATTTACTTTCATTCATCATTATTTTATTTTGGCTACAGCTATTTCAGCCACGTTTTTCTGCTTTGCAATATTTGTTCTATTTTTACTTCAATATAATGTCTTTGGTTTAGCCTATGACAATAACACTGCATGAGCTCTTACATGATGATAATGTGCCCAGATCAACAGGTCCTAGCAGCTGAGACTAAGTAAGTATGTGTATATAATGAAACACTACCTGTAGGGTCCTGCTTGGTGATGAAGGACTCTGTACTGACAGGGATCTGAGGTGGATGGGGCATTCGGCATGCAATACAGATTAAACAGCTCTTCAGGTCTGTGGACAACAGAGACATAACAGTTTAAAGTGCTATATGCAACACATACCGAACATTTTTTCATAAATCTGTACAGAACATGATTAAACATAATTCAATTAGAAAAATGCAAAATAGAAGAATTATTATTAGTGGACTCAGACTTTTGAACCTTAAAATAAAAAACTGATTTCACATTTGAGCGCTGGCGTGTCAATGACAGCTTCATCAGACTCCCTGCACTAAGCTAAATATTTATATGGGTATGACTTTATGAGTGTGTGTGTGGTCTCACCCTCGCCCTCCTCCTGCACCGCTCTAGGCTGAGAGACTGTGAAGCACTGCATGAGCTCATACTGTTGACGGGCCTCCTGGTTCTCTGCGTCCACCTCGTCTGGAGGCCTTTTCAGCAACCTGCAGTTAAACGTGTGGCTGTTCCTTCGGCCTTGCTCCTGAGGCCATGGCACACCGTTTACTGAAAACACACACAGACGTGCAAGGTGAGTTAAGTGTGAGATAAAGACCACCAGTGGAGTGCCATTGAGCTCTGAAGTGAAAGAGGTTGACCTCTAACCTTTGTGCTAGTATTTACAGTGAATGATTAACATAGAACCCTACCTGCCTTTAGTTTTTAAACCATTTTTTTTTTTCTACAACTAATACAAAACAAAAAGCTTGCACATCTTGCTTCTCCCATATCTCGGTTGGTTATAAAATACAAATATACATAAATATGGAAACAATTTAAGTACACAATGACAATGGCAATTAATAGCTCTGCCCACAAAGAAATCTCATTGGTCCAAATTCCTAATCGCCAAAGCTGTACATTAATCATCAAATAACTTCTGAGTTGTTGTAACTGTGTCATGTCGCATCATGTCTGGTTAGGTGTAAAATTTACTGTTAAATCTTTATCTACCGTTCTGCTCTTACTGTGGCCCTTCTCACTGAGAGACTCACCAAGGCTCTTGGGTAGCAGGTTGCGCACAAACTCGTTGTGATCACCCACATGAAGGATGCTGTAGACGCTGGAGGTCATCAACTCTTCCTGGGTATAACCCAGATAACCGGTGACGTTCTCAGACACAAACACAATGCGCCCCTCGCGGTTCACGACGAAAAAGAAGCCATCCAGGGCCTTGTGGAACAGACAGAGAACAGAGATGGAAGACAAAAATAAGATGTACGTTGCATAAAAGTTTGTCATTCCCAACCATAGGAACTGAGCCAGGCTCAGATGAGGAGAGAATGGAAATTCTGGTCATACAATCTCAATATCAGTCTTTATCTTTAAACAGATAAAGAGTTTAAAAAGTCTAACATACCTCTAAGAGAAGTGGCCCAAGGGCTTCCTTCTCCACCATGCCCTGACTGCTGGACGATATGTCAGTCTTTTGCACCTCATCATCTGGAGACATCAGAGCTGCTTTTTCTGTGGACATGCAAAGAACATCATGTTTACATTTCTGGTAAGTAACACCAAAGACATCTAAATTTCAGTGCATGAACATACACTATGGAGTCAGTAAACAAAACACAATATTAATAAAAAATAATTTAATTCTTTTTTAATTAATCATTTAATTATAATAAAGTACGCATAAATATGACAGTCAATATATTTATAATGTTATAAAATATTTCTATTTCAAATAAACGCAAATAAACTTACTATTCATCAAAAAATATTGAAAAAAAAAAACGTATCACGGTTTCCACAAAAAATCTGTGCATTGATAGTAATAAGAAATGTTTCTTGAGCACTAAATCAGCATATTTTAATGATTTCTGAATGATCATGTGATACTGAAGACTGGCGTAATGACTGCTGAAAATTCAGCTTTGCCATCACAGGGAAAATTACATAACATATTCAAAAATAATACATTTGTTAAAATTGCAAAAATATTTCCCAATATTACTGTTTTTACTGTATTTTTGATCAAATAAATGCAGCCTTGAGCATAAGACACTTCTTTCAAAAGCATAAAAATAAATCTTACCAACCCCAGATATTTGAACGCTAGCGTTAACACAGTGAAACACAAATTCACCGTTTTTTTGCCTAAAGTTTTGGTTCCTGGTTAATGTAATCCACACCTTCCAAACCAATCTTACGCATCCCTATCCATAAGAGCTTTCTAATGTGTAAGCGGCCTTATACAAACACACAAAAAACATGCATAATTTCACTATTGTCCACCTTCCTCTCTTGGACTGGGTGGATGAAAGCTACACAGCGGAAGCCTCTCTAAGACTAATGTGAGCAAAGTGGTACTTTTGGACAGGAGCCAGCCGCAGTAAGTGCAGAGAGCACTCTTGAGAAAAGCTTGAGACCGAAGAGTCACAATTTGGTCACTCCCATCCCAGTTCGACTCAAAGAGCTGATATAAAGTGTCAATGATTATTCTGCGGCCAAACTACTTAACCTTTTTCTCCTCTCGAGATCAAAGCTTCTGAAGGACCGCATGAGAACGTGGCTCAGTCCAGCAGCTGGAGAGAAGAGAGGACGAGACTGTTTGTTTTGGGCTGCATTTTAAGTGAAGACTTCTTGAAGGAAAGGCTAAATTTAGATCAGAGCTCGAGCGCTGTATTTACACACATAATAGCAATGTAGCTCTCACCGAGGAACTTTTGCAGAGCGCTCAACTCGGCGACGAGTTGACGGAACTTCTGCAGAGCGCTCAACTCGACGACATCTGTCTTGTTAGCTCTGTTCTGAACTCTGGAACGCGAAAGTTTAAAAAGAGATCAGTCTGGTGGGAGGGGATAGGAGTTTTAGGGGTTTTACAGAGACGTTGCTTGGCCAATATGTTGTAAGGAACGGGAATGACAGAGTTAACTTCAAATGTCCACACAGCTATTTTTTTCTATTTTGCATAGCAGTCAATCGATGTGGATATTTTGATGGCTGATGCTGATATCTTACAGTGTGATCATACAGATTGATGGCTGGGATAAGGCTTATATATATATATATCATACTATTTAATTTAAATATAGTAAATAACATGCTGCAACAAAATCACGATTGCAAGTTAAGCATCACAAAATTTAGTAAAGTATCACAATCGTTTCTCAAGTGATTTTGGATTGATTAAACAAAAAAAAACCTATCAAGCATATTTTTAATTAATAAATTAGCCTAATTAAAATAAAAATCAATTAAGTAAAATAAAATTATAAAAATCATTTAAAATAAATTAATTTATACATTTCTATAAATTAATTTATCAATACTCATTCTCAGCACTGGTGGAAAGAGTTTTTTTTGTTTACACTTATCGGCATAACAGAAAAACTTCTCAGCTAATCAGCCTTGGCGATTTATATTCGTCAGCCACTAATTTTGAACTTGGTGTAAATGCCAGAATAAATAACGAATAAAATTCATACACAGGATATTTGCAAATATATTCATTCTATTTTAAATAATGTATTGGTGATGCCCATCAATTGAAGGAGTACTGCAACTTTGGGCCCTTGAAGTCCAGCTCAGTTCAGTTCAAATAGTATCTGTGCAATCAAGTCGACAATATTGCCAGAAATTAAGTGTCCCCAACTAAGCAAGCCAAAGGGGACAGTGGCACTGACAGTAGGCAGCTTCATGGATCATGACATAAACAACGCAGTTTTGATTTGTGGTTTGAAAACTTAACTTTGCAACATTATTAGGGGCTGAATTGAGTCAACATGTGGTTAAGTGAAGTCAGTGGAAAAATTTTAGGAGAACCTGTGGAAGAACAAAAGAGAAAAGGAACCAAGCTCCACATCCTCACGATTAGCCCTAAACAAATGAATACAAATGGGAGTCCCAGTCAATCCCACAATCAGCCTCCCTGGCAATCAATCATAACGTTCTGACACCACTCCCACTTCAAACACAGCCAGCTGCCATGGCAGCAGCGTTACTGTGGCAGTGGTGCAACAGGCGATACCTGATCTCATAACAGAAGACTTCCGATCTGCGTGATGTAAGGGCTTTATGTGTTCGGTGTGTCACACATACACAGACAGCTGGCCTATAGATACAGAACTGCCAGAACTCTCCTACTCTTTTTCAAAGGGAAAACAGATGAATCAAAGCAAAAGACTTCACAGTTCATTTATTACTGTTGTTTGCCAAGGCATGAATCACCATTACTATTGCTCATACTTAGGGTTATGGTTTTGTTCAAATCCCTAACCATAAGAATGAAACTTTCGTAACTCATCCCACACTGTTTGTAACACTAACATGTACAATACTTAACTATTTTGCTTGTTGAGGAGAGGGGTGCTATTGATTGTTTTGAGCGATCAGAATTTCCACATGGTAAACAATAAACCACAAATTAAAAAAAAAACATATGCTTGAAGAGAGGTCATTTTTTGGAGGGCTGGGTTTTGACACAAATTTCATGATTTGATTCGATTCTGACTCGCAAGCTTTCGGTTCGATTTGATTTGATTCAATTCAAAATCGATTATTTTGGATACATATCAGGTACAGTACATGCAAAATTTTCTCAAGGAAAAAAAACTTTCAACTAATGCTGTAAAATATAAATGGTATAATTAAATACAAGCCAGTTGGTACTACATTACTATAATACTGAATGTTAAAATGAACTGATTTGTGTACAAACGCTTAAATTACACTCAATCAAGTTTTTATAATAATAAAGTTTCAATTATATAGCCTAATTATATTTCTACTCCAGTCCGTTTTTTTAAATATAAACATTTCAATTGTAGCTGTAATAAAAACATGATGGATTTATTTAAGCATGAATTAAATATTGAAGAACAGCAAAAAATTATGAGTATGTTATATGGTGCATATATTTAGCAAAATGCTCCTCTCTAGAGTTCATTTTGATAGCTGACTAGCGAGTTTATGGTCACCAAATATGTTTTTTCTGAGGTAAATGTGACGTTACGTGATATATATATATATATATAGTAGGGCTGTGCCGATAGACAATAATATCGCGTATCGATGATAATCACAGATGTCACCTGTGGCTGATGCCTTTGGCGATAGCAAGACAATTATTATTATTATTAGGCTAGTAATACTATATCGCCTGTGGCTGATGCCTTTGACTATAGCAAGTAAATTATTATTATTATTATTAGGCTAGTAATACTATCTAATTAATATTAGGGCTTATTTGTTGCATTATATTTCTTTTTCCACGTTTTTACAGTATTGCGCGTTATAACCAATCACACACGATTATGTTGCGCTTATGAATGCAATAGCCAATCAGAGGCGTTCAGATAAGTAATCGCTGAAACAGCGGAGTTCAGTTGTTCAGCACATGCTGACTGAATTCTGACTCGCGAATTCTCATCATAAACAACAAAGGGCAGATGTACGTGCAATGTAAGTATAAGAGATTTATTTATCATACAGTGTAGATTCACTGATTTTAACGGGAGTGTTTTTAAAGTACATAACCTCGCGCTAGACTGAGCTTTGAGGATGTTCTTTGGTAATGTAATGTTCTTTGCTCATTTTCTGTAGCTGCTTTTTGAATAACTGAGGAAATGTAAGCATTATAATTAGTAACTTATGATATTTCTATTAATTTGTTAGCATGATAAATACAAATTCAGTCATATTAAAAACATTAGATTGCTTTTAGCCTTACACTGGAGTTGGTTCATTTTCCGGCAATTAAACTAAGTAAACAAATAATTAAATAAATTAGCACGATAATATCGTGTATCGGCGATCTCACAGGGTGATGATAGGATGACATGAAAATTGAACATATCGCCCAACACTAATATATAGTCTACAATCTGTTATATTGACAACTTTCCGTGGTTGAAACACTGATTGAGCGATTACATGAGACAGGATACAGATTTCAGTAAGACGTACTCTTTCTTTTAACATACCTTCAGATGTTTATTCTTGTTTATTTCGTGCTGAAACGGGTATTAAAGCAAAGGAAATGATCAGTTCATGTGCGTTTCGCGTTGCCGCTTTTCTTGATATGAGGTGCTACAGCGATCGGTCACGCCACATTACACAGCACCAAAATGGCATTTATTGTTTGAATACTGTAATAAAATAATAAGAATTTGAAATATGAGACTTCAAAAGTAACAAAGCACAAAGCTTATTGCAATTTATTGGATGGGAGGTGTGCTACAATGTTCCGTTCATTAGCTGAAAACAGGATAGATAGACTAATCGATTCTTTGGATTTAAGAATCAATACAGTTTCGTTAAAAATGAGAATCAATTAAAATCGAGAAATCTATATTTTTTACCCAGCCCTAATATTTTGTCACAAATAAAATTTTGTCACAATTTGGCAACAAAAATGTCCATTGCTGATTGTAAAATCATGCAAAATCAGCATGGGGAAATCTTTCACCCCCACACAAAATCACATGTATTCCTATTGAAATTTTTGGATTGCGCCCACAAAA